TCACTTCTATCAAGTATTTTTTTTAATTATACACCACACACCTCTGCTTTCAAAATATATATTTTTTTTAATTTTTAAATTCTTTTTTAAACCTCTACTTAGTGGTGGTAAAAAGAAAACAACAAGCACATTTTTCAAGTGCAGAGAAACATATCTGCACCCAGCAATTTGGAAAACATGTAAAACCTGAATACAGAAACTCACAATTAAAAAATTCATCAGATAGATACAAAAACTCAGCAGTTAACTTGATTAAGACTTAAAATAGCAATAGCTTTAATTCAAAGACAAACATTAAACAGTGAAATCTAATTTTTGACTCTTTCCTCCCCCGCTTTACTGTCAATCCTTTAGATAAACTATTAAAAAATACATCAAACGCCAACATCAAGAACATTTTTATTTAGTTTCAAGATCGATTTATGTATCATCTGAAATCTGCTCTTTATGTTGTTTCTCTCCATTTGCAAAAAATACCCACCCCACAAAAAACAACTATAATAAAGCCATTTTTCTTGCTAGTTCTTAAATTTTTTATTTCTTCACATCTCATCTCTTTCATCAAGATCATTAAACTAAAAACAAATGAGATTTAGTTAATCAATAAATTTCCATGTGTTAATGGCTTTTTCAAGACAAACTTCTTCCAGTGTTCACTGGCAATCTTTTCAATGAAAAGATTAGTGTCATGTATTCTTGTTATGAAAGAATCAAAGAGTGTTCAATATAAGCAAGTAATGGTTGATTATATCCTAATAACTTTCCATGCTTAGTATCTAGATGTCTTCTTTTCATAAATTTCTTTTGTATTTCCCAAAACAAAATCTGATTCCAATTTTCTGCAAATATAGATCAAGGCTTAATGAGAGTGAAATGCATGAAGCTTAATTTTAATTTCTGTTTTAAAACTACAACCAAAGGAAGAAAATAATTTTGAATATTCTTTCTAGTCTGTTAACTGCAAAAGAAAAACAAAATAAATACCAACAAAGCTAATGTTTATGTTATATTCCTAATAGGAATCTATACTTGAAAAAAAAAGGTGGATAAAATAAGTAAAGGCAATACAATAATAACATAGGTAACAGTTATGCATAAGGTCATCGCAACTGGAAAGTCGGTAGTTGCTTAAGTCTTAGTTCTCATTAGATACCAGCAAGATGGTATCTAGCAACTGTCCCACATAGTCACATGTAGCACAAGGCCGACTTTAATGTGGCCAAAAAAATTCCTATAGACCCTGCATAAATGGTATTGGTTATGTCTACCTCCCAGGATGAGACTCTGCCCTTCAGCATAGCCTCGTCCGGGTTCCTCCCTGCCCAAAGGCAGAGAGTTCAACAGTACAGCTGAAAAGATTTCAGCTAGTCAATATTTACTAGCCCCTCCCCCACCACGAGGATAAATGTGGTACAAAGCCAAGTTTAACGCGGGTCATCCAAGCCCATAGGATCGGCCAAAAAATCCCTGTAGAACCTGCATAAACAGGATCGGGTTGGTCTACCTCCCGGAACGAGAGACTACCCTTCGGCATAGCCTCGTCTGGGTTCCTCTCTGCTCAGAGCCAGAGAGTTTGACCAGAAAGACGAAAAAGATTTTGACTAGTCTCTTGACTTACAGATACTTATAGGTAGGTAGTTACTACCTATAGTGTAGTTACTCATGGGGGTGGTGACAGGTTATTCTATTACATCAGTTTATAAAAGCTGGTGTTTATCATGACATGAAGAGTACTATCATTGAAAAGTTTTACACAAAATTTGCTAAGTGTTTAAGAAAGACAAATAGTGTGGGGAAACTCCCATTTTGTCTACAATGAGACTTTACCTAATGCCCACATGTAGTGTTGCATAAAGCAGTTTAAAAGGAAAGTGCACTAATTCTCTTTTTTTCCTTTACCAACAGGATGTAATTGTGACAAGATATATGTCATTTTCCCTCCAGGGAGGCTTCTTTGATTAAATTTAAATGATGCTTTAGGTTGTTTTTAAAAGATAACTAGTAAAGCACTCTCATTTCAAAGATATGGACAACTATTATGCCTACTTCTAGTAAGTTTAAACAAATGGTATGACTTAGAGTAAAAACTGGAAAATGAATAACATAGCTATATGATTAAATCTGAATGACACCCAGTTGTTTTTGTAACTTAATAAAGCTCTGTATCTGACAGGTTCCCAAGAATATAAAATCTGTGTTCAAATCTTTGAAATTAATTACATCTTACCCACATTATTTAGTATAAATATATTGTTGATTTATGTACAACAAACTAGAACAGTATAGATTCTACTGAGATGAAACAAAATTGTTGGAAAGCAGGTCTTAGCATTGAAATGTACAGTAAGATGTTGAAGTCAGAAAAAAGGAAATTATTACAGGAGATTATTTTTACCTCAACTTTTTTCTTTTACTATTTATTTCAATAAATCTTTGTTTTGTTTGGTCATTCTTATTCATTTTTTAGTTCAATACAAATCGATTTTTTTTATTATGATGGGCCTTATTATTGGTTAGTAAAATATACATATATACATTATAACAACAAAGTGAGATATTTATGCATATATAGACAAATTTATTCATCAGAAGCATTTGCTTGTACTAGTTTGGTAGATATATGAAAGTTCTTGTAATTTGGATGTTAATAAATATTTATGTTTTAGTGTTTGTCGTAGTGAATGAATAAATTATTTGCAAGTAATAAGTCTATCATTAAAAGGTAATGTTAAATGTGAGATGATGATATTTGTGCAAAACCTATCTGTAGTCTTCATTCCTGGCATGACTCAAATCCATGTGCTCTTTTGATGAGAAATTGATGAAAAGAGGATACTAAATTTCTCACCAGTAGGGCAGTTTCCTTTTACCTAGGGATTCATGGGAGATTAGGTTTATTTTATTTCTCTTGATCACAAGATTACTACACTTTCAAAATGGCTGCACAGAAATTAGAATCTTTTTAAATTATTATATTTTGTGCAATTCAGCATAAATTAAATTCTGTATTAGAATAAGTTCACAGATTTTATATTGCATATAAACATGAATTGTATAACTGACCAAAATCTGAAAGCTCCAAGACAATCAAATTTTAAAAAGAAATAACATTCTTTATTGTAATGTTTTCACACAAAGGTTTTGTGTTGTTCATATACAAAATCAAACCCAATCTGAGGTGAAATAAACTTCAGCCTGCTGCAACTGACCATTCTAAATGGCACAGCTTCATGACAACAAACAACTTTCAAGTTGACTGGCATATGCTGTATCTCAGATCAAGCTATAAGTGACACAAAAGGTACTTGCTCCTAACCCAAGAAGCAGCATTCTACCTGCAGCTGTATAAGCACATCCATCTTTGACCTCACAAGTCATGTGCATGTCTTTAGATGTGGACAGCACAGCAAATCATCTAATTCAGGCTGAGAGATCTTAGAATTTTTTATGCCCTGTCCATTTAGGACATGGGCGATTATAGCTTCCCAAATTCCTTTTTCTTTATTATCTGTGAACTGACATGGTTTCCTTGTTAGGATAGATGAGTGATTGGCTATTGCTTTCTGCACAGTTAGAAATTCAGAGTTTTTCCTTGTCTTACCTCTTAGGGGAGAGGCTAAGAAGAGATGGGTTCATGCCTTTCGCAAATGGAAAAGGTGAAAAGAACAGACAAAATGCAAATTTGCACTCTGCTTACCAGTTTTTCAGTTAACGCTGATAGGTGTTGCGCTAACCATATATCCACTGTTGGAATACAGGATCAAAAACATTCATAGCTGAAAAGTATTTTTTTTTACAGAATTTTTCTTGACTACCTGAAAAATAATTGTCTGATGAGGACTGCACTTTTTGATGAATTTCATTGATATTTGTTAGATGAACAGATTTTAAAAAGATTTGTTTTCAGGATTTTCTTTTAATAACTTTCCTCTAAAAATTTGGCACTAATGTTTGTTAAGTCTTTTCTTAATTTTAGATACAAGAATATAAAGTGATAAGCATGAGTAAAAAAAAATAGTAAAATTACTGATAAAGAAACCATTCGAACAAATGTTCAAAAAAATGATTATTTTTTAATAAATTTTCTGGTTTTAAAACTCGTCTTTTGTTGATTTTATCTGTTTATTCAAATCAGATAAAACCATGTTCAGAAATATGTAAATAAATATTAACAGAGAAATAAATAATAAATAATTATCAATAATTATTTACACTATTTATTTTAGATTGTTGCCCTCATCTTTATGGTCATATTCACAACGTTTCAGGTTATATATATATATCAGAATTTCAAACCAAACCCTTTATTTTGTCCATTGGGTGAGATTGTTCTAGTGCCATGACTTTTCTGGATATCTCAGTTTTCAGTTACTTCCTTTAACTCAACTTTCCAAGTTTTTTTGTCCATCTCTGCTGTGGCCAGGTATTGAACCTACTACTCTTTCAGTCAAGTCATTGGGTTACTTCACCTGATGCTTTTATACATTAGGACATGTGGATTACTTCAACCAAACCTTTTATCTACTGGGCCACAGCAGAGATGAACAAAAAAACTTGGATAGTTGAGTTACTTTAAACTGTAATAGTATAAATAGTTACAATATCTCATTTCAGAAATATCGACAGAAATTATCAATAAATAAAAATAAATATGAATTCATTAATAAATACAATTTAAATATAAATTGATATTAGCACATGAATGAATGTAATGTACATATGATGAAATGATATTAATAGATAAACACATGCAATTATAAACTCTTATCAATGATTAATCAGTATGAATTTTTATCCTAGTGCCTTGAGCACATGAATTTTACATGCTACTAGATTGGTAACTAGGTCTCACCATTTTACTGTTGAACTAGCTAGATGCAACTCCCACTTCTATTCTAGCAGTTTCTTTTCTTACACTTCATTCTGATTTCTTGTATCCCTAACCCCTGGAGAATTCAAAATATAACCTCAAATATCATCTGTTCCTTTATTATAGGCTGATGGCAATATCAAGTTAAAACACTGGTTCCCATATGCTCACTAAAGTTAAGCAATGTCAAGCCTAGTCAGTACTCAGATGGGTGACCACTTAGGAATACCAAGTGCTGTAAGCTTGGATGTACAGGTGGTGTAATGGATAATGGCTCCGAATTGTTAATCCAAGAGCTGAGTTCCAATTCCTGTTTGGTTTGTTATATCACATATACACAAAAAAAAAACCCTCTTCTCCCCCAGTTATGGATTAATTAGTAACACTTGTATCACTAAACCATTATTATCTCCTCTTTCCATCAAAAATTTCTTAATTATAAAAAAATCCCTTTAGGACAGGGCCGATTTTTTTTTGTCTCCCCCAGCACAAAACTTTGATATGGGGCCCCTCTCTCTACTACATGATAATTTCAAAGTTTTCCAAACTGGAGGCTACAAACCCTTGAAGGAAAATTGATGCGAAAGGACAGTGCTTCTTTTAAATTCTTAAAAATCAGGAAGTTATCTAGTTTAAATGAAAATTTCACCATTTATTTACTTTTATAATGTACAGGTTTTTTTTTTTATTTAAAAAAAAATGAGAAAATGTTATTCTTTTTCTAATAATAATCAATATTTTCATGACTAAATTTTACTTGAAAAAATAAACTTAAAATTTTTACATTTCTATAAAGATTAATTCTCATGAGAAAAACAAAGTTTTACAAAGATTCCAACAAAACACAGAGAGGATTGTCTTAAAAATTTGTTTTAAAAACAGTATTTCAGTTTTTGGGAAAATTTTTCATGCATATTTTTATTTTTTTAAAGCATTTTTATCTTTCTAAAAATGCAAAAAGTAGGGACTGGAAATTTTATTTTAATTAATAGCCATGGCCTTCTCATTAGTATTACTACTAGGTAAAAAAAAGACATCAGAAATCCTGCTTAGTGGATGATCTCAGAATGAAAAGAATTTACCAAAATATCTTTTGATTGATTTAAAAGAGGTAAAAAACTTAAGTAAAAAAAAAGCACAAAAACAGAAAATGCTTCTGAAACTAGCCCTTTTGTGTCTCCAAACTTATTGGGGGTTCCAGTGTAGTATGCATTACGCCAGCCATGCAGATACACTATGTATATTATTAGTTGATGACTAATAATGTAACATCAGTCTAAAAATAATTAAAAAAGGGTGGATGACTATAAAACTGCTGAAAAAAAAATGGGAGTGCCTCCAACAGTGTCCAAAAAAAACGTCTATAATACTTGAATAGTTCAGTGGTAAACAAAAACTTGTAGAGTTGAGTTGAAGGAAGATAACTGAGACATCTGGAAGAGGCAGGTCATGTGAAACTAGAACAGTGGTGGATGAAATAAAGGGTTCAGTTTGAATTTTCAATCACCTGTAAAAAGCATACAATGGATAAAACATCTTATCTTACTTATTATAAAACGCAGGTTGTGTGTGTGTGTGTGTGTCTGTAACGTTTATATGTTGGATCGAATTTCCTACATTTTTTAGCCGATTTCAACAAAACTTCACAGGACTACATAAAATGACCTTGTGGTGGTTCTAACGGGGCCGAAATGGGAAAAATACAGTTGTTTTTTAATAAAATCAATTTGAAAACACGATTAAGACAGAGAATGAAAGGGGGAGAACTCACCCACGAAAATGTAAACAAAAGAGCATAGCATGATGAAAAAGACGCAGAACTTGATGAAAACAAAATTTTATCGTCTAATGTTCATATTATTATTAAAGAGGAAAGATCAAAGTATTTTGGGGGTATTTTTTTACATTTTTTAATCGTTTCTAGCACGTCTGAAATTTTCGTTAAAAATATTGTTTTTTTTTGGTCAAAAAAAAGGGCAGATAATCATTTTTTTCGATTTGATAAAAAAGATTAAAATCTTACTTTGATATTCTTTTAAAAGTCAATTATCATTTTTTCAAAACTGATTTTAATAAAAACAGATATTATACTGTTTATTTAAAATATTTTGAACCAAGCTTAACTTAGCTACTGTAATTTGAAAATAAAACAAAGCAGGTCATAACCTTTCGCGTCGCTTGACGAAAGGCACATTTATGACGTTTAGATAAGGAAAACTTTCAGCGCTCTAATTTTTTATTTTTTATTTTTTTTTTTTGTGCTTAGCTTTCATTTTTACGTTTACGATGCTTTATGGAAAATATAAAGAAATTAAAAAATAAGACTGTTAATAGTGAGATTAAATTTCATAAGAAAAAGGTATCTAATTAATTTAGGTACCTTTCTTATGAAATTTTATCAGAAGTGTACATAAAATACTATAATTTTATGTACATTTATTACATTTTACCGTGTTATTTGTATTTCCATTCATTTTATTATTAATTTTGATATTTCATTTATGGAAAAATGTCATAACTGAGATTAATATAAAAATAAGATCATATAAATTAAAGTTTAGCAGTAGTTAAATTTCATAAGATGATACTGTTACTTGTAGGTACCCTTCTCAGTTGAAGTTGAAATTGAAAACTCAAATTAACTTCTCCATACGTGTTTCGCAAAAGTAAAGGGCTTAACAGCGGAGAACAATGCTGAACTCAAATAATGCAACTAAATTGTATTCTGGTTGGTCTTCCGTACTTGATAATTACTGTCCGACTATAAACACAAAAATTACATTTCTTAATTACCATGGCTAATCTGATTGGTCCAAATTATACAATTTTCAAAGCGCTAGACAATGACAATCTCACACGGACATTTTGAAAGGTTGATGTTGCTTTTAACTAATGTTAAAATATTTTTTTAAATTCAATTTAAACATTTTTAAAATCTTTTTAAAATTAAAGAAATAAGAAATAATTGTATTAAAAATTCAATTTTCATTGAAAAAATTTTTTGCTTTCAGAAAATATTGTCCATATTCATAAAAACAAATTAAAACAAATAAAAGCATTTGAAACTAAATTTGTTTTATTGAGTTTTGTATGTTACAATTCACAGCTGATTTTCAGGTACGTTGGCCAAAAAAAAAAAAAAAAAAAACATGATTTGCATTCTTCAAAGCCTTGTGCTTTTTAACTATTGTAATCACTAAAACCGATGGTCTCGAATTTCTAGAGTTTTTCATAAAATTAGTTATGGGGGTGTTAATAAATATAAAAAAAATATTTCTGCCATGACTTTAATTAAAAAAAAAATATTTATAATAATTTCAATCATCTGTGAATAGTTTCTGAAAGTTTCATTAACATCTGACAATTATTTTTATTTTTGCATGATTTTCCAAATTAATGTGTGTAAATACAAAAAAAAAAACGCGCTACAAATTATCTATGTTATTTACTACCCCTTGTTGCGACAAAGAGAAACAAGGTTTTTTAAATCAAAATTTAGAATATTCTAAAAGATGGAAAAAATTTTAAAAAATAATTAAAAAAACTTTAGTCTATCCTCTTCATAAAAAAATAAGCATTTTGACGATAAAATTTTGTTTTCATAAACTTTGGCGTCTTTTTTTCATCAGACTATGCTCTATGTTTTAGCGATTCCGTGGAGTGACTTAGGTTAAAAACCCAGGTTGTTTATGTGTGTATGTTCCTTTATATATGGGATCGAATTTTTACATTTTTCAGCCGATAAAACAAACATCCACTTTTTTTTTTTCGGCAGGTAGTATTTTTATTGTCTTGCACACTTTTTTTTCTTTATTTACATTCAGAATGCTTTAAAAATTCCATTTACAAGACAATTGTTTATAATAAAATTTATTCACTTCGATAGATTTCGCACACTTTTTTTCTTTATTTACATTCAGAATGCTTTAAAAATTCCATTTACAAGACAATTGTTTATAATAAAATTCTATTCACCAATCGATAGACTCATAACGATTGTAAACAATGTTTTTGTTTGAATTTGGGTTTGACCAATTCGTAAAAAAAAAAAAAAAACTAATTAAGACATGTATGTCCGTCAACCTTAAACAATAATCTTTGTCAATTTTATTTTTCAGTCTTTATGATGGTCGATACTTGAGCTATCTCTTACTGTTACATCCCCGGGCAACGCAGGGCTCTACTGCTAGTTGTGAATATGGCAACAAAGATGAAGACAACAGTGTGAACAACATAATTTTTTTTAAAGATGACAGTATTTATGTAAAGGAACAAAACATTGGTTAATGTCTGAAATTTTAATTTTCTCCTTCCAAGATGAATCTATCATTTATTCTTCATGTAATCAGGCATTTAGGATATAACTTTAAGAACCTTTTTCCTTCAGTCTCTTTCTATACCATTTGAGTTATACCTGTTTGTGTCATTGCAATAATTCTCTTTGATTGTTCATTGATTAACAAATAAAATCCAAAAGAAAAAAAGAATAGTTTCATGAATGGTCAAGCTTTGTGCAACTGTCCAGTGCAAATGTGTTTGGTCAATCAGCCAGATATCTATCAGAACTCTGGAACCATCAGCTGGAAATAATCTCAAAATGTTTTTCTCTGCATAAACCTGTCTATTGCTGAGAACATCAAACTATTATTGATTGAAACGTTGATATGAATTGGGTCATACAGCAAGTAATTTCATTTGCATTACTGTAATTGTTTCAATCTTACTGAAGCTGGGTGAAACCAGGACAGAAACTTTGATTGAGGATACTGAATAGCAAAAAAGGCTGAAGAGGACTGAATAATAATAATAATAAAGACAGAAAAGTTGGAGTATTGTTCATGCCTTTGTTCATTGCAAATATCATTAGTGTGGGGATTGCGTAATTGAATTAAATATCTGCAGAAATGTCTGATTAGTGGTATATGAGGCAATGAATGGCACTTGTATTTTTGTACATGTTTTTGTATATTCAGGTTATGTGATTAATTCTGTAGAGTTGGATAGCTGAAGAAGTTGTTATCATTCTATATGCCATATCTCATCAGCACATAACTCTCCTTAACTTCCTATCCTTTCTATCTCTGAGCAATTTTTGGCTTTTTGTTATCACTACAACTCACTTTTCTACCATTCCTTTACTTGTCAAGTAGGTTACACACTGTTTGACTTTCCCCTCATGCTGTCAGTATGTCCTGGGGGTGTCAAATTCTCCAAGCCCTTTTCCTTCATTATGTGTCCAAGA